CTTCCACGTCCTGCCACCCATGCTACCACACCTGCTGCTGCAGTATGCTGTGGGTTCTGCATGCACTGCCTTCTCACTGTACCTGAACATGTCTCTGCCCTCCCAGAAGCTTTTTCTAAGGCAAAGGGCGTGGATGCGGTTCCATTGCCGTGGCAATGCCTACGCTTTGTCAGCCTCTCGCGAGAGCTGCCCAGCTGCTCTGCTTTCTCAGGGTTCCCCTGGCAAAGGAACCTCCTGAAACCCCACTGTACCTTGTGATCTATCACTGCAGTTATGGCCAGCACAGTTCTGAAGCAGCTAACCTCAGTGATTAAGACTACACTTCTCTAGACATCACTACCTAGATATACAGGTCAACAGTACTGGATGTGCCAGTAAAAGAAAAACAGTTGTTTAGTGCAAATTTCAGCTGCAGCCCTTCCATAGCAGCTCACCAGAAAACAATATTCTGCAATGACAGTGACACATAGGGGGCATATATGTGTCACGCTCTGGAATTCTTGACCTAATGTATAGACATTCTGTGCTGCAGATTTTTATGTTATTTTTCATAATCCTGTAACAGCCAACATGCAGATCTAAAAGCCACTTGTATGACCGTGAAATTTCTCTTGTATTAAATTTTTAATGTATGTTTGTATTCCATGCAATTTCAGCTTACTGTTGAGCTTATCATCAGAGGTCAGGAAGACATTAACTTCATTTCCATCTTTATGTAAGTTCTCTATCATTTTTTAAGTTTCATCTTTATCATTTTTAAGTGTCTCTTTCCCCAGAAGAGGAGAAATATGGCTAAATGAACCATGGAACAAGTGGTATTGAAGCGACATCTGTATCAGAGACATGTTTGGGACAGATACGTGGGTTAGTCAGCCTCTGACATGTAAAAATGTAGATTAGGGCAAAGGAATGGATAACAGTAAAGAATATTATTAAAAAAAAAAAAAAAAAAAAAAAAAGGCGCCTTAGGTTGGATTTCTATGTTTAAAGGGCATGGCAGCCAGCAAATCTTTGTTTTTAGAAAACTGAGCAATTTGATTAGTCCAAAACTTCAATAAAGATGATAAAGTCAGCCTGCTTTTATTCCTTGAAACAAAATGCATTTCCCAACCACTCCTGGCATGACACCAACTTGTGCCAGCTGTGAAAATGGCCAAAGATCACCAGGGGCCAGGTGCAGGATCAGTGTCCCAGCAGTTGATGAACCTCTGTACCCAAGGGCACTGTGGGTCATACAAGATCCTTCTCACCAGCAACAGACAGGGCGAGAAGGCAACACGAAGAAATACTGTGGCTGCAAAGAGGTGCAAATATATCTGAAAAGCTATTATGTGATTTAAGATCTGGACTAGAGTAGCATTCGAGACACCTATTTTCCATGTTTCCATCCAACCTAATCTTTCCTTGCATATGTGCTATCAATATCCATTTTCCCCATTATTATATACTTCTATTTATCTTATCCTGCTGCTCACAAAGTTGGACCTTTATGCTGCTTTGGAAGAGTCCAGAACTGTGCATTGGTCTTGCAGTAGTTCGTAAAGCCTTTCTACTTTCCTTGTCTTCATATTTTGCCTTTTGATTTTTCTTCCTCTCTCCCGCTTCGCATTTTTTGCTCTTAATTTCTTTGGCCTAAATATTTCTCTCTCTTCTTCCAGACTGTAGAATCATCAGAGTGAAATGTGTGAATCAAAAAGACTAAAGTAAGTTTAAAACTATGTTAGAGCACAGTTTATTATCTATTCTCATTTTCTTTCTAAGTATGGAGAATTATTCTAATATTTTATTTGAAACTGTCAATAAATGCAGTAGCAAAATTTCTTTAACCAGTGTCATGGAAACACTGAAAGATATAGATGGAAAGGGGTCCCTGGATGTTTCTAGTGCAGCCCAAGAGTACAATAAGGTAAACTCCCAAGAAGGATCAGATCACTCAGGCTTTTGCTGCAGTGCTTTATCACTTTCATGGGAAGAATTTTTAGTTTATTTCCAACTAAAATTTTTGCAACATGTGATTGTAGTATATTTTACCCTAAATGACTGATAATCTTACTGGATTTTAATATATATTTTCTGTACAGAAATTGTACATTACAAATGGGCAGATCATCTGAAACAAAACGTTTTTCATGGACATTATTATTATCCAATTCATTCTCTTTTTTCTCAAATACGAACTTGCATTACATTTGGAAAACAAATGCCCTTCAAAGACAGCAGAAAGTTTGCTATGCTAGCAAACTGCTCTTTATGACATTGTACTTCATCTTGAGTTCTACCAACCACTTTAGGTTTTTACAAGAGAATAGGTAGTTGCAAGTCAGAAGCAGCATTCATAAGAGCTGAGTTTTCTACTTCATCTCTGGGAGTCTGAAAAGTGGCATAGGAAAGCGAGGATTCTCATAGGGCACATTTCTATTTATACTGATCTTGTTTCCAGTATTACGAAAAACTGAAGTGAAAGTCAACAGTACTCCTGGGGGCAAAATACTTCACAAACAGCTGAATGCCAGCTCTTAAATTACTGAGTATCCCAGAGGAGCCCTTTGAAGGTTGCTGTGTATCTGTTTGCTCTCCAGCTGCTGTCAGGTATCCCTACAGGGGGAGGTGGAAGGCACAGCAATGTGGCCATCCTCATGGTAGAAACCTCTGTGTTAGTTACTAAGGCATAAGCCAGCCCTGTCCTTCCCCACCAGCACACTTCAAGCTTCCAAATGTTCTCACAGTGCAATTTTCAGAGCATCCACTTTACTTCCATTCCTTTTAAAATCGTAGGTTCCTCAGAGCAGGGATTAGCCTATTTCCATGTTTCAGCACAGCACTTTGGAACACAAATGTTTGTGAAAAGGTAAAATCCACATTACTATTCTTTTTTCCGCAGAGAGTTTAATATATTTGTTTTAGCCCAGCAGCTTATACTCAACTGTCTGGAATTTTGCTGATACAATGAAAATCTTCTGAAAATGCATAAGAATTTAAGCACGTGGAAGTACTCTTCACTTCTTTGAGATATTAACAAAAAAAAAAAAAAAAAAAGAGAGAGAGAGAGAAATAGGTTCTCAAAACTGACACATGCTAAGAAATGGCCTGAATTTCATCACAGAACTCTTTCTATGCAGCTAAGATCTCAGAAAGAGTTCAGAACACTGTGTAATGATAAGCACAGAAGGGCTTTATCATGTATATGAAATATTGAATGAGAAAAACTGCATTCACAAATAACAAAAAATATATGTGCCTCTTGTGGAAACCTTTGTAACTGCTTCTGAGATATTCACATCCACATTTCTACAGTAGTCAAATGAAAGAGAGCAAAAGAAAAAAAAAATAAAAATGCTTATGTTTGATACCAGACAGAAAAAAAAATAGTGAATAATTTTGACACTAAATAGATACACTTAAAAAAGGAAACAGAAAAGAAAAAAAGGTGGTTTTTCCCTTCTTAGATAGCTTTTAAATTATTATGGCAAAATGTTTCAGATGCTACAATCAGTGAAATGTCTGTAGGCTAGATTGCTTCTCAGTAAATACAGTTTTGTCAATCTGCTCAGATTGACCCTTATACACTTTGGCTGGAGAATGCTGTCATTTACACAGGTGCAAGTTTCTAGATTTACACAGGTGTAATAGAAGAATTTGGCAGAGTTTTGCTAGTTTTAAGCTTTAAAATATCAGGTCAACTGTCATAGTTTTACCAAGTTTTAATATATTTCTGTGCCGATGACATTGCTTCACAGGTGTTGATAGAACAAAGAATTTTGCAGTGTCTAACTAAAACCTGTAACCTACTAACATCTCTGCCTGTGAATCCAGGACCACTAGACTTAAAATCTCCAGTGTCTTCTTAAAAAGTGATTCATTTATTGTTTAGTACTCTTTTCATCATAAATACTCATTTCTAAAACGAACAAGCAAATAGCTAAACACAGCCTACTTTCACAACTATTCCTATCACTGTTGTTTAATCTGTATAGCCAGCATCCCATTAGTACAGTACTTTTATACAATAATCAGAATAATATTGTTTTAAGTCAGAAAAGTTGTTGATGAAACTTTTGTACATTGACAGGACAAACGAAAAGCAGATAAGGTATCTTGGAACAATTTTAACATCACTTTACATTTATTAATTTTCAATTTACTCACATCCCTTTGTAGCTTTTCCAAGCTTGTTTGCTATACCTGAAGCAATAGAAATGTGCCAGTAGGAATGATTTTAGTTTTGATTCAGATCCTAGATCTTCTTGCCATGCTAATCTGTGTGGCTCAATAAAAGACTGCTAACCAAACATGCAACAAGGGAACTTGCAGATTCTAAGTGTTCTGGAGCTGATCTTCAGCTATTTGGTCAACTCCAAATTATCTAAGTGATTCAAACAGGAGAAATAAAAGGGAGAGCTTAGCTGGAGTGAGGTGTGTGCACATCAAGTTTCACTTGCTTAAATGAGGCAACACAGATATCAGTCCAACAAACTCACTGCTAAACTCACACCGTAATGAAGGAATCAGACCCAGAACAACTTTACTCTCAGATTGTGATGTATCTGTAATTTTTTTTAATTTGTGTTTTTGGCTTTAATTTGCTGTTTTCAAAAAATCAGAATGCAATTTAGAAATGAAGAGGGGAGGCAGAAATCTAAATCTGAGAAGAAGAAGAAAAAAGATACATTTAACAGGTCATTCTCTTCACAGAAATTACAGTGGATTGCTCTTTCTGGATTTAACAGTAGAGGCATGGGAAATTTTCAGATGTCACAAGTTTGCCGATAACACTTGAACATATGATTAGCTTTCGTGAGCTGTCTTTAGAAACCTTATATTTTTTCCCCCTACACCTTGCCCAGAGATCCTACGTGCTTTCCTTCCCCTGAGGTTTTGGAAAACTTAAAATGTTGCTTTGACAAAAATCAAGGATGTGGACAAGTTTTTTTTTTTCCTGTGTGATGTCACTTTTCCTGCTCTTCATAAGCCCCTGCAAAGAAGGGAACTTATCTGAGGATTCTTGCTCCAGACGCAGACAAACAAGGGAAAGTGAGAAGCAAAAGGAGTATCAAGTTTCAGATACTGAACAGCCACTAAGAGCTGAGAACCATGCCGCACACCAGTCTCTGCAGCTGCCTGGAGTACATGCTGCTTGTGCTCTGTATCCTGAAGGCTGCAGTTGGCTTCCCCAACTCCTCTCCACTGCTGAATCCCAGCTGGCGGAATGGAGATCAGCTGATGCACTTGTACACTTCTACAGAGAGGAACAGCTTCCATCTCCAAATCAATGCTGATGGCCACATCAGTGGTGTTCCTTACCAAACCATTTACAGTAAGTAACTTATTACGGACCCTCTGTCTTCATGGGAGCAGGGGAGGGCTAACTAGAATATTGCTTTCTCACTACCTGTAGAAAATGCCATCTTCTTGGGTGGAAAGCAAAGAGAGGAGCAGAGCTATGGAATCAAAAAAACAATTATAACACTCATTTTGTTTAAGAAATAATTTTCTTCAAAGAAATATAACAGGTGAGGAATATCTTTGTTGAAGATAACTAAAGTTGTGTGGTTCCTGTGATGCTCTGCAAGTAAAAATTACCTGGATTATCCTTCATTTCATGATTTTACTCACAGTTTCTTGTGGAATTTTTTATTAGTAGTTGATAATGACATATCCCAAAGGGCTACTTTCCACTGCAGTGATAGCATTGCGCTGAAAAAAATCACCATAGCAGTTGTGAAAACCTGATTATGGTCATAAAATATTTTGGGATGGAGATATTCTAACTACTAAAATTAGGTCATTTTCTTCTAAGTGTATCAGTACCACTCTTTATTGAAAATTGATTTATAAGAGAATCTATAGATATGTGTATTTAATGCAGATGCATGGCAGAAAATCAGTTGTGCATAGAATGTGGGTAATTAAGCATGCAACAGTTGATAAAATGGGGGGAAACTGTGAAAGTCCAGACTGTAATAAATGAAGTGCAAAGCCTTTGGAGTTCATCAGAAGTAATTGTTCCCTTTTGTAACTAGAAGGTTCTATCATAGTTTATTTTCATGGAAAATTCAGGAATTCTTTGCTGGATACCTGTCTGAACATATTAGCTAGTTAAAAAATACATAAAGAAATAAATAATTGAAATAAAAATAAAAAGGTGTAGTTTGGCTTGGTTTTGTTGTAAGTCATTTTTTAGGACACAGAGTTCTTAGATAGGATTCCAAAATTACTTATCTTTTAGCAGTAGCTATGCACACAAGTAGCTATGCATCATAAAGTCATTCTTATTACTACTGCATAACATGCCCTTCATCCACACAATTATATTTAATAAGCACTTCTTGTGATACTTGTGCAAAATAATATAAGGAACAAAAGGCAATTTTAGAAGTTTAATTTATCAAAGAGAAAAAATAATCAAGTTCCCCTATTTCTCTTTCAAGGAATTGATGAAACACTTGTAGGATTTTCTGCTCTGTCTTAGTGTTATTTTTCCTGTATATCTATGGGTTTTATAAAATTTATTTTTAGGCATGTTGGGCAATAATCAGGGAGATGCAAAAAAGAAAACAGCCAGTAAAAAATCATGTTTTGCCATATCTGTCATGAAAAAAAAATCCACATATATTTGAAATGCTCACAGGAGGGGTTGAAATCAAACAGTTAATGAGTTCATGAAAGAGAAGATGACTGAATTTCTGCCAGGTCACCACACTACCACTGCCACTGAGATTCCAGGTAAATAAAAAGTCCAAAGTGCTGCTCAGGCTGGGAGGAGGCTGGATGTGTACAGCCCTCCTGGGTAGAGACTAAGGGTTACAGGGGACACACTCCATTTAAGAAGATGGCAAGCCATCCACCATGATCCACAGATCAAGGAAAATTACTTTTCAGCCTTTACTTACTACCAATAAACCTGGTCTTGGAGTACTATAAAAAACTCTGTGAGATGGATGTGGCAAAATTGGAACTGTTCTAAAAGAGAATTTTCAGGATAGTCAGTGGCCTTGAACACAAACAATTTTGGAAAAGGTTGAGGGAGCTAAGCTTATTTAACGTAGTAAAAAGTAGTTTAAAGTGAATATCATAGGGCAGCCATTAAGATGAGGCAATCAAACTCCCTCTAGTCATGGCCAGGGACAGAACATAGGAGAAACTGTCCCAGAGTGGGCTTGGGTCTTCAATTGGGATGTCAGAAAAAAAAATTGTTTGGAATGTTAGTTCAGCACTGGAACAAGGCATCAAGACATGTAGCGGCATCTCCACTCTAGGAACTTTTCAAGGATCAAACAAAGCCACATCGAACGTGATCTAGGGTGCAAATAGTCCTAAATGATATAGAAGATGGGTTCAAATCCATCAATGGACATTTCTAGTCAGTGTGTGGACCAGTAAGGCAAGAGTGTGGTGTCAAATGGGATTCTGGATTTGACATATTTGCTTTCTCAAACAGGTGCTCTAATGATCAAGTCTGAGGGTGCTGGCTGTGTTATAATCACAGGCGTGAAGAGTGGACGCTACCTATGCATGGACATGAAAGGAGACATTTTTGGATCGGTGAGTTACTTTTACAGATAACAGGCACAGGCACAGTCTGCTACATACAACCCATTTCCTCAGCTAGGGCAAATCTGTACAACTACAGCAGTAGGATGTAGATTTTGGCAAGCTGAGAACCTGCCACTTATGTTAAACTTTCTCTCCTCTTTGATTGTTCTGAATTGTAGAGCTGATAAAGAGCACATCTGAGTTCCTTCTGGAATATATGAAAGCAGAAAGAGATCCAATGAGATCTTATAATCTTGCTGTGGTATAGATTCACAGTAGCTCAAACAATGTAGCCCTCTGTTGAAAGCAGTGTTGGCTAAGTAACACCTCTGTTGAAAATTCCATATTGGATTAACATGAGTTGTCTGAGTTGCAGACCTGGAAGATCGGAAAACACCTTCTGCAGGATCTCGTCTGTCTTTTCCTCTTTAACAGGTGTTTGTCCTTCACCAAATCCCTTTGTTGACATTTGTCTTTTTTTTTTTTTCTTCTCTAAGCATTATTTCAGCCAAGAGGACTGCGTGTTCAACCAAAGAACACTGGAAAATGGATATGATGTGTATCAATCTCCCAAGCACCACTTTCTGGTTAGCTTAGGCAGAAGTAAGCAAGTTTTCATCCCTGGTATGAATCCACCACCGTACTCCCAGTTTTTGTCCAGGAGAAACGAAATCCCTTTGTTTCGATTCAACACACCTGAACCCCACAGAAACACTAGGAGTGCAGATATTGATCCAATGGATCCTCACCAGATCCTGGTCCCACAGAGAAAGGTCTCTGCATTAGAGTCTCAGCTGCAATTGCAAATGGACTTTTCCCATGTGCCCAGAGAACCCATGAGAGTCAATCAGAACGATGTGGTCAACCCAGATGACCCACACGCTATGATGGATGCCAGGAGATATGCTAGTCCTCGCTTTTACATTACAAGATAATGGCAACCACTTGCAAATTGATGACATGAATGAATATAACAGACAGAAGTGTCTAAAACACTCAATCTGATTTCTACCCCTCAGGGTGGGCTGCTAGAAACCCGAAGAACATTGGAAAAAAAAAATTATTTCAAATTTTGTCCTTATGCATGATGGTTTACTGAAAAAGGATGTTGCACTCTGTTTTACTGAAAAGACAATCCATTTTCAAAATGTATAATAGAAACTAAATATTTTAAGGTCTGAAATACCCTTAGTATGCCTAAGTGAAAAACAGAATTCACTTGAATGTAATGATGAACTAGTGTTATGTTACTGATGTGTCTGGAAGAAGACTTGAGCCCTCTAGGATTAGAAACTCCAGCAGAGGCAGAGACTCACTTGCAAGCACAGCAGACTAACTGACCAACAGTGTGTTATATCATCACATAAAACTTGCTATATATATTCTTAAGTGTTGAGATTGGAGCTTCGGTCTCTTTTCGTGCCCATAGGAGTCAGAAAGTGACCACTCTGGTGACAAAAAAAGCATAAGGAAAACTGGAGTAGCTGACAGGGATCAAATGGCCTTGTGTAGAGTCATTTCTGACACCTATTGAATCCAGGCTGAGGTTTGAAAAATGAGTATTTGAGTCTCACCGTTCTCTCAAGTTCTCTGTCACATCTCTCTATTCACTTAATTATAGCAACACAATATGGAAATGCAATATAGAAACATTCATTAGTTTTGCATGTTTCTAACCCAGAGGGAAGTATCAGGATCAGTATATGCCAAATAGGCTAGTTTATTTTGCCCAGTGCTCTCCAAGAAAAAAAATCCCCTTGGATTATGCCTCATAGGCGAATTATTAACAGTTAATGCAGACTCACATCTAATGAGTAAAAAATTAAGCATGTATTTAGAAAAGGAGCATCTAAGTTTGACATCAAAATTTTTATCTAATTCTAAGCAGACATCAGATGCTTTATATCTGTAAGAGTGAAATGACTTCAATATTATCAGATTTCTAAATGTTGACAAAATCTAGGCATCTAGATTGAGATTTGTCATGGGTAACTTAGTTACCAAAATGTAAATTCCATGTATATATTTGAAGTTTACCAATCTTTAAGTAAGATAAGATATTTGCAGAGTTGAGTTTTCTTTCTAATTTAGGTGAAAAATGGTTAAATTTAGTAGAGCTTCACTGGTTTTAATGGAGCTACATAGAAAATTCTGAATATTGTATACATATTTAGCACTTCTTCTCCTTTATCTCATCTGCTTGTAGTCATATATTCCTGGAATTTTAAACATATGTGATTCTGAAAAAGTGCTTGATATACTTCAGCAGAAATCAATAGCATTAGAAATCAACAGATAGAGAAAATTCCAGCATGGCAGATATGTGAAAATATCTTTGTGTTTTTTGTGTGTGTGCACTTTCTTCCATTTTATTTAATAGCATATTTAACAGCCTGACACCAGTCTGAAAATGATGTGTTTCATCCAGCTTTTTTCATAGAAGTAGCACATCATAAGATGTCAGGCTAGATTCTAGTCTTTCTCTTCCTACTATTTAGTGAAGTAATTCACTGAAGCCACTGAAGTCAGAATCGTGTTACAATATCAAAAGTAAGGCCCTCTGTTTGTTTTCATGGAAATTGCTGAATATTCACTGCAGAGTCTGTCCTGCTGACAGCATTTTAAATAATCTACACAAACATATATAAATATACACACATAAAATATCTTTTCATCTACAACCTCCAAGTAGTTACGTTAGAATAACCACACTATCTCATTCTGCTGTAATGAAGGTTTTGCCAGATAATGTGGTTCTTAATTCATACAGGATTAGGATTGGATCAAGTGTTATGTCTCACAAATTATTTATTACTATCATGTTTATAATTAGTTTTTAAAGGAAAGAAGTTATTCTAATGGATTGGGGAATTGCAGGTCAGGGAGATAGCTATGTGTTTTCTTGCTTATTCAAAATACCACAAGAATTTTTACCTTGCTGCCTGTACAGTGGGAACACATGATTTTATGTTCTATTTAATAATTTTATTTAATTCCTTTACCATTGTTGGCTTTCTCTCCTTGAGAACTTTTTACTGCAGTTACAGAAGTAGAATTTTTTTCTGTGCTCCACAGAGTTCTCTAGGACACAAAGTCAACAGACCTACGGAAGTTTGAATCATGAAAAGTTCTGTCTCAACCCATATTAAGCTTTGATGACAAAATCTCTAAGGTTAAAACTCTATAATATCTCTATCAGTGCATAAGAAGACAAAAAGTGTTGCTCAGAGATTTAATCCTTGTGTGTTGAATGAATGCACAGTAAATTTTGCATCAAAAACACGTTTCCAACTATAAAGAACTTTATCAAAAGTGTCAGGAGAATTATTTCTTCAATGGAGATGCTGGCCATCACCAGCTAGTTAGAAAGCACTACATTTTAAATATTGCAATATTTATTTATTTATTTGAGTGGGTCTTATGTCCTACAGAATATTTATAAATATTTATAACAATGAATTGTGCTGACTATTATAGTGACTATTAAAATAAAAGAACCAATAAATATTTCTTTCTCTAGAAATGGTCGATTTTATGTTGTTCATTTGGGCCTACTGTTCAAGAAGTACTTGCATGAACAAACAGTACTACTTGTTCCTGAAAATGTCTGTCCTACTATCCTCTGGGATTCTCAGCTTTAAAAACTGAGGATTCCTGGCTGTTTCATGCACCACATCTGTGAAAACTAGGTGAAATACGATGAGAAAAACAAAGCCTTAGTAGGTATAAACAGATTTGGAAGGGATTGTCATATCTACTGGCATCAACAAAATAGCAATGGAAAACTACTGGTCTAGCAGTTCAGTCTTGCTAGGAAAAGTGATTCTGGCTTCAAGGTCTTAGGATTAGGCAAATTACTGTTGCTGCTATTTATTTTACTGCTGTATTCCAACGCTATTCGTATTGCTGTACTCAGGCTTTGTTTTGCAACAGGCACATCATGGATTAAATAAATTGCAGAACATTTCTTTCCCATGGTGGCCCCCAGGCCTACAAAGACCTAAAAGAGATCATCAAAATGACTAAGTGCTCTTGGGTCTGACAGATTATTTCCTTGCAGTGCTCCCTCACCATGGGTAACCTACGGTGCTCAGTACAGTACAGTCAGTGTTAATGAAAGCGGTAGCATCTTTCGCATCTTCCATGGTTTCATTACCAAGAGAAACATCATGTTACTAAGTACCACTTAGTACTGCTGCATTTGATGGTATGAAGATAATGGACTTCAGTGGGAGAAATCAGGTATGTGGGGTTCTCTCTCCTCCAAGATCCCCCTCTCCTCCCATTGCTATAATATTAGATCTATGGCCTTAAAAGGAGGAAGAAGCACAATAGAAATATGCAATATGGATTGAAACATATGTGAAACCTCATAGATGTCAAGGCATTATACAAAAATCAGTATTATCACTTAGTTTCCCACATTTAAAATCTTGGTACTGACTTGGGAACTTTTGAGCACACTCAAGCTGTGCACAGGGAAATAAAAAGAAGCATGCTGCAGAGCAATCATGCAGCATAGAAGAAACAGACTTGGAGATGCCTGGAACGTGTGGATGACAACTTCTTGACACAGGTAGTAGGGGAACAGACTAAGGATGTGTTGTTTGTTAACATAGAAGATCTGACCTCTTCAATGACCTACTTGGATGCATCCCATACATTAGAGCACTGGAATGTAGGGGAGCTCAAGACAGCTTCTTGACATTCAAGCACCACTTCTTCCAGTCTCAAGATCGGTGCATCCCTAAGAGTAAGAAATCAGGCAAAGCTGGCAGGAGACCCCATATGGATTCACAAGGAGCTCATTAAAAATCTCAAACAGAAGAAGAAAGTTTAGGAAATGCGGAAAAGGGGTCTGACCAATTGGGATGAGTATAGGAATGTTGTCAGCGCATGCAGGGATGCAACAAGGAAAGATAAGGCCCACTTGGAATTAAATCTGGTCAGAGAGGTCAGGGACAACACCAAAGGCTTCTTAAAGCATGTCAGTAATGTCAGTAGCAAAATGAAGACTAGGGAAAATGTGAGTGCATAGCTGAATGAGGCAGGTACCCCACTAACAGGACACTGAGAAGGCAGAGCTAACGAATGCCTTTTTTCTTTTAAGACTGACCTTTGAGAATCCCAGGCCCTGGAGACGAGACAGAAAGTCTGTTGAAAGAAAGACTTCCCCTTGATTGAGGAGGACCTGAACAGACATCATCTAGGTAAACTCAACACAAAAATTCATGGACCCCAACAGGATGCAATCGCGACGGCTGAAGGAGCTGGCAGAAGTGATTTCTGAACCACCCTCTATCTAATCTATGAAAGATCATGGAGAATGGAAGAGGTGCTTGGGGACTGGAGGAAAGCCAGATAGCCTCACCTCCACTCCCAGTAAAGCAGATGGAGCAGTTTATTCTGAATGTCATCTCCAAGTTAGTGAAGAAAAGAAGGTTATCAGTAGCAGCCAGCGTGCATTCTACAAGGGAAAAATCATGCTTTACTAAACTGATATCCTCCTATGATGTCATGACCAGCTAGGTATGTGAGGAGAGAGCGGTGGATGTTGCATACCTGGACTTCAGCAAGGCTTTTGACACTGTTTCCCATAACATCATTATAGGTAAGCTTAGAAAATGAGGGATAGAACAGATGGATTGAGAGCTGGCTGACTGGTAGAGCTCAGAGGGTTGTGATCAGTAGCACAGAGTCTAGTTGGAGGCCTGTAGCTAGAGGTATGCTCCAGGGATTGATGCTGGGTCCAGCCTTGTTCAACATTTTCATCAATGACCTGGATGAAGTGATAAAGAACACCTTCAGAAAGTTTGCTATGATGCAAAGCTGGGGGGGTAGTACCTGACGCAACAGAAGGCTGTGCTGCTGTTCAACAAGACCTGGACAGACTAGAGAGTTGAGTAGAGAGGAACCTGATGAGATTCAACAAGAACAAGTATAAAGTCTTGCAACTGGGGAGGAATAATGCATCAGTACAGGTTAGGAGCTGACAACTGGAGAGGAACTCTGCAGAGAAGGAGCTGGGTATTCTGGTGAACAATAGGTTGGTCATGAGCCAGCAGTGTGCCCTTGTGGCCAGGAAGGCCAATTCTGGGTACGCTAAAAGGAGTGTGGCCAACAGGTCGACGGAAGTGATCCTCCTCCTCTGTTCTGTCCTGGTGAGGCTGTATCTGGAATAATGTGTCCAAGTTTGGACTCTCCAGTTCAAATGACAGGGATCTTCTAGAAAGAGGGCGATAGAAGTGATTAAGGGCCTGAAGCATCTCCTGTCTGAGGAAAAATTGAGAGAGCTAGGTCTCTTCAGCCCGAAGAAGATAAGGCTGAGAGGAGGTTGCATCTCTGTCTACAAACACATAAAGCACGGGAGTCAAGATGGTGAAAGTAGGATCTTCAGTGGTGAGCAAACAGTTGAACAAGGGGCAACAGGCAGAAACTGGATCGCAGGAAGTTCCATATTAATGCAGGGAAATACTTCACTGTCAGAGTGGCAGACCACTGGGAAAGGCTGCCCAAAGAGGTTGTGTAGTGTCTGTCTCTGGGGATATGAAAGACTGACATGGACACCCTCCTGAGTAACCTGCTATTGGGAATCTGATCTAGCAGGGGGAGTTGGACTTGATGACCTCTAGAAATTTTTTCCAACTTCTACAATTCTGTGATCCTGTGATTACTACAGCACCAAAGGCAAGAGCATGGCTGATACTGGCAAAGGACAATCAAGGAAATCTATACTGTTCCTGTACTTTTCTAAAAGCAAATATCTTTAAATGAAACAAAACTAAACAAGCAAACAAAAGGAACTAAAACCTTCATCCCTATCTCAGGGCCAAACAAATTGTAGGAAAAAAAACCCCAAAAACGTCACTTTTTGCTAGAAGTGTCTGTAAATAGTGACAATAAAGAATGATACTTGAGCAGCAGTATGAATGATGTCCCGCTTAGGGCGTGAGAAAGGCTTATTTAGCCAAGAGAAGTGAAGGGTCTGGGGAAACCTTACAGCAGACTTCTAATATGTAATAGGACTTAGAAGAAAGATGCAGAGGAATTCTTCAACAGAGAGTGCTGCTTCTTACTTTCTCTGCCACTCACTGAGACTGTCCCACCGGAAAATCTAAATCTCCTCTGAATGCTCTTGCTACTCATACAGCAGTGCACACCCCTTAGTTTTACATTTTTGTTACATGATGTCATATGGAATGGAATATCCCTTTGACCAGTTTAGGTAAGCTGTTCTGGTTTTTCTCCTCCCAGCTCCTTGTATCCATCAGCTCCCTAGCTGGCAAGACAGTATGAGAAGCTGAAAAACTGGAACCTCCTTGGCTCTGTGCAGCTTTTCTCAGCAACAATTAGAAACAACAGTGTGTTATCAACATTGTTTTTTTCTCCTAAAGCATCATATCAGACACTACGAAGAAAATTAACTCCGTTCCAGCTGACATCAGGATGATATCTACCCTTTATTCCATATAATTTACATCACAGAATCATAGAATGGTTTGGGTTGGAAGGGACCATTAAGATCATCTAGTTCCCTCTAGACCAGGTTGGTCAAAGTCCCATCCCGCCTGGCCTTGAATGCTTCCAGGGATGGGCCATTCACAGTCCCACTGGGCAACTTGGCTTGTATGATTCACCTGCCCAACAGTGAATTTCACTTGTTGTTAGCTGTTAATTGTTAACTTTGTTGTTAACTGTTAGTAACAGTTAGCAAAATGTGTAGGAAGGCACAATTCAGAAAGAACAGCTTTCCTAAGTTAAGTATTGCCCACTCCTCAAAGGTGACAAAATTTACATGCAGTTTTGCAGGCGCAATCTCATTACCTCTCATACAATAGCATTAATGACTCCTTACCTCTACCAGAGACACCTATCAGGATTTGGTTTATCTAAATGCAACACCACCAACTACTCATCAAAGGTCTATACTACCCCAAATAATTCCCCTCTTTTGTTGTTTTCAACAACTTTCAGCTTGTAGCATCATTACTTTTGAAATGTATGAGCTTGCAGTCTGTAGAAGCTTGTTTCATGCCATTTCTTTAATCCTATTCTCAAATTCATTATTTCCTCCTCTACATGATATTTTGACCAACTTAGTTGTTGGTGATGCCTCCTGACATTTCCACATTCCTACATTTTTTCCTTCAAAGTCATTACAAAAAAAAAATTGCCCAAAGAAGAACTTTGATCTCCAACACTACTTCTTACTTATATGTGTGTAAATTGCTTGCATGACTTATTATTATTATTATTTTCCTTAGTAACATTCATCTTTTCCAGCCGAGTTGAGGATTTCCATCATGGCATTGCATTAAGTGTTCAGTTAAAATTCACTTGGTTCTTATTCCACCACTCTTCCCTTGCCTAGGCGTAAATTATTTAATCAAAGAACCATCAGTTTACCTGTGTGAACTACCTATGGTAAAACCTTATTTAGTTATATTTCAGGTTTCATTTATTTCTCTGTTAATTATATTCTTCAGAATTTGTTCTAAATGTTCAGTTCAGCAAGATTATTTTGTCCTCTGTTCTC